TATATATATTGTCAAGAAACCTGGCTGTGCCAGCCATGACAAGGGTTGGAAACAGGCCGACGGAGCCCACCTTTGACCTCCAACAGAGAGGAGGATGCGACAGAAAGAGAGGCCATAAGAGACTCTGACACCGGTCGTACAAGGACCTGACAGCCCGTATCAAGTGGCCCGGTACCCCATACTCCCGGAGAACCCCCCACAAGGCCCCCCTTGGGACACGGTCAAACGCCTTCTCCAAGTCCACAAAGTTCACTCCTTACATTTTTAAAAAATATCTAAAAAGTAAAAAGTCATTACTTCTATTTCATTTTGACTTGTTTTTAATCTGGCTTGGTATTGTTCAAAAAATAGCTATGTCACACAGAAAGAGTGAATTTATTTGGATGATCAGATCCATTAACTGTACATGACAAATCATGTCACCCTCCAGCAGGACACAGGAGATGTACAGTATAATGTGTGTATTAAGATGACCGGAGCAGATGTATGCAACTGAAACAGGAAAAACTAGTCCATCCCAATTTTCTCAACATTTTAATGTGGGCTTTAGAGAAAAATTTTTGGGGGGGTCAATCTAAAATCTAACCACTCACATGTACTCAATTATTTAACTTTTAATAATTAAGTACATTTTAAGTCAGAAGTGTACTTTTGATACTTAAGTACAAAACATACTTTAAGACTTTTACTCAAGAGGAGACTGACCTTTACACAATATCACGTTGAGGTACTTTATACAAGACTGTGCAGACTAATCATATTGACATAATCACTGTGTAGTTGAATAAGAATCATTAATGCAGCATCTTGAAAATCGTTTCTGACAGAGACCACACTTTCAGTTAAAAATACACAGAGAGTAAATCAATTAGCAGACTGAAACAATCGGCAAAGCACACTCAGAGGGAGCACTGTGCTGGAACAGGGGTTTCTGCTAATTGGTAAACTGTCCTCCCACTGATTTGATGAATAACTGTGGTGTTTGTTTGAAAGGCACTCTCTAATATTATCATAATATGGGATCACTGCCGCTGCAGATGGAAATAAAAACTGTGTTCAAGAAATGAGGTAGGTGAAAAGCTCAGAAGTGTGAAACCCAGCCTATGATGTTGGGGGTGGGGGATGTTGTTGATGTTTAATGTGTGGCTCATTAACTCAGTAGATGCAATCAGTGGGAGGGAGCGAAACATTTTGCCATTGAATAATGAGCAGTGTAAGGCTGCAGTTTAACTTTACATTAGAATACCTACCTACCTATTGACCAACCGACCAACCAATCCATCTATCTATATATATATCCATCTACCTGCCTACCGATCTATCTGAAAGATTCTGGTATTACCAATGAAATGTATGCATAATGAATTTATTGGGCTCTCTTGTGTTCAAATGTCAGAATACTATCCCCATATGTTTTGTGTATGTGGACCTATATTATCTTTCCAGAGTAGTAACGCTTGACGCAACACGTTTGTCCCTGGGACTGGCATATCTGCTGCTTGGTTTTGACTTGCAAATGTTGTATTATTTCTGTGTACTTTATAAGTTCTACACTTTAAGTGCAAAACTCCATTTGAGGCAAAAACATAAAACAAAAAGAAAAAAAACAGCAGTACTGAAATTTGGTTTAGAAAATCAACACTGTTTATTTATTTTTAATTTAAAAAAAGTCTAGAAGAAGTCTAGTCTAAAAACCTGTTTACTCATTTTATTAAAACTGTATTAGATATTTAATTAGGACATGCATCACTTTTTAAATTAAAACTATATATTTTATTGAGATTTTTGTACTTTTTGTGAAACCTGTATTACTTTTTAAATAAATTAATAGCAAAAGTATTTCTTCAAATAGCACATTTAAAAACAACTGCTGTTGCCCAAAGTGCTGCATTATGCCAATACTGACTTCAAGCACTATGCATTGCACAAGAGTTTCGCATATTTGGTTGCTATGATTGTTGGGGTCAACCTTTTCTGTCTGATCAAAAAAAAAAAAACTGCTCAGTAACAGCTGGGCAGATTTTATGGAAAATCTCAGAAAGTTATCACAGGATGTACTATACGATTAACATTTAGAATCAGCCCAATGGCGATCTCCACTTTATGATGTCATGCATGTCACTTACATACATTATCTGTCACTCTCAAATGATTCGGCATGGATTTTATGGGAATGTCAGGTTGTTTGCTAACAAGAATTTTTTTTTTTACCTTCGTATATAAATCGACATTAAGCTTTCATTTAAGTTGTATATTAAAAGTGTTGCAAAGAAGTTGAAGATAAAAATAGGCTTTTTTCTTTAGGAATAAACCATGTTTTTCTTTCAGTGCTAATAAACATTTTTTTGATGACCTTCCTGTCCCTATTAGATTACTGTGGCATTGTTTATAGGAATGCACCTGTCACCAGTCTACACATGTTGGGTGCTGTGTATCATCATTAAGGTTCACAACAGGATGTAAATCCTTCACTCACCCCTGCAATTTATAATCTGGGCTGGCCATTATTATCAATTCATAGACTCAAATATTAGTACATTTTTATTGATAAAACTATCCTTCGATTGTTCCAGCACTACTTGTTGATATACATTTCACTTACACAGTCAGTCACAGGCTACGCTTTCAGGACTTGCTCCCCATCAATGTTCTATTAGTACGGTCAGAACTTGGGAAAAAAATACATTTTCTTACTCTGTTATGTCAACATGGAACATTCTACAGCATGATCTGAAGCTACCCACTTTAATGCTTTTGGGACAATTCAAATTTCTTTTAAGACAAAAAGAGAAATCTTCTTATGGAACGTGCTCTTAACTTTAGCTCAGATTTTATTAGCTTATATAATTGAATCAGATTTCCTAATTACCTGTCTTGTGTAATTACTTGTGTATGTAATTTTTGGTTTTATTAAAACAGGTCTCTCTATTAAATGAGATTTTGTATCACAATGAGACCTGTATAAATGAAAACAAAAACAAATAAAAGAGTCAGAGTTGAGAAGACAAAGGCTATTTTTAGAACACTGATCACATGACTGAATGGATATTGCCATTTATGATGGCCATCACAGTTATACTGTAGTTAGTAGTTGAGCCATTCACAACACAGTTTTGATAGGACACCTTGTGATATTACAGCTCTCACAACATGATTTTCACCATCTAGAACTCTGATAGTGATTCCCTTTAAGGACTGCAAGGCCTTTAATTACAGGAAATGCATTTGGAATTATTTTCATATCTAGATATCCAAACATTACACCACAAATGCAATTAAAAATCCATTATTCTAAACTTTTACAAGATTGAAATATGTATTTAAATAAAAGCATATGCATTGTCAAGATGATAGAAATAAATCATTTGGTGCATTTTTAAATACATAGCTTGCATTCCTACCATAGAGAGCAGCCATATGGGGCACATTATGGCCTGTACCATGTGGTGTCGTCAAACTGACAGGACACAGTGATTTAGTGCTGCTGGAAGTGGATGGATCCACACTTACCTTCAAAGTCATCCGTTTCCTGTCACTGTGAAAGTCTAAAAGCCCCCGGGAACACAGTGCAGCATGTTGGGCATTCAAGTATCTCTCAAATGCTGCCTTTAATTTTCCTTATTCTGCTGGTCTGTCTCCAAAAGCTGTGACATTACTTTGAGATGTGAAGTCTATGCAATGAGCAGTAGCAGCTTTTTCTTCAGTAGCAGCTCTTTTGGTAGGTATTTTTCCCCACAATTACTGTCTGCTACAGAGGTTCTTTTGAGAATCTGTTTGTATATCACAGAGAACTAAGTAGAATCTAACTAAACTGCAGCTAAACTGTATGCTATTTCAAGCTCGACAGTTCTTGCTTTTTCATTTCCAACATAGATTGATTTCTTTAAAAAGAAAAAAATTGTATAGGTCTTCTGGATGGGTTCTTCTCTAATGAAACGTTTCATTTCTCCTCCAAGAGACTTCTTCAGTATGAGAGTTTCAGGCAAAATTCAGGCTTTTTAAGCCCTGCCTCCATGTGACTGATACTCACATCACATGGAAAGCCTGAATTTTGCCTGAAACTCTCAGACTGAAGAAGTCTCTTGGAGGAGAGACGAAACGTTTCATTAAAGAAGAACCCTTCCAGAAGACCTGTACAATTTTTTTCTTTTTGATTTTTTACCTGGATTACTGAGATGCATCAGGACATTGATTTCTTTAGGTAAATAAATATTTTAGAGAAAACAAAGAGTTACTGACTTAAGAGGGTTTACTTCTGTCATTGGGCCTCATGCAAGAACATGTTCGTATTCTTATCCTAAATTTCTCTTACTTTTGTTCGTATGAAGGGTTCGTACGAACATGCCACGTCAGATTCAACAAACTCTTCTATCTTCAGGAAAAGTGTGTAAATGAAGTGCGTAAACTGATGAATTCCTATGAGAGGCCATGTAAGACACCTGTTCTGTTGGGATCTGTGTTTCACCACTCATCAGTTCTTTTAGTTCTCCACCAGATGACACCAGAGAGCACGGCCGGCAGGGCTGACTGCAGCAAGTGTGTGTTTTTACACACCTGCAAATGATACACATCAGTGGAGCTTAAAAGGAGTCTGCTGCCAGTCCTTGATGCCAGAGTGTTAACCTTCAGTAACTTCTTGTCCTCTGAGCTCCTTGAGATATTTTTGATTATTGTTTTTTGATTAACTCCTTACTCCTACACTCATCTTGTTCTCTAACCCTTGCCTAAAGGTTTCCACCTTTAATAATCTGGATCCCATTCCAGTCCACTCTCCAGCCACCTACAAACCTCCATACTTACCCTGGATTTCATCAGCTCTCGGCTCGCAGCATCAGGCTTCTTATCCAAGCTCCTCCAGTAGCTCGTTCGAAACTGCTCCGCTCTCCACCGTGATCTCTGGCAACACACACCCAGCAATCAGCTCTCAGT